GAAATGCTGGACTTCTTTGTTCCACAAAATCATCCAGAGTTAAGCATTTCTACGTACATTTAAGCATTTTTCCCTCAAGATTAAAAGTATCAGGATGAAAAGTCTTGTTGGCAAACCAACGCAGAAACAGTTATATGTATATACAGTATAGAACAGCTATTTGTAAGCCTCTTAATTTTTATACTCGCGGCTGCTGAGCTGTCTCAAAATTGTATTTTCAAGGTGTGGATCTCGTTTGAAAACTTCAAAATAACGAAAATAAAGAATAAAAGCGTCACATAAACTGAAAAAATTCGAAGCCCGAGGAAAAATATTGACCGACGGCAAAATGCCGAGAATCTTCCGTCGTAAAAACCAGGAAATAATATCTATATAGGTCAGTTCCGCTGAGAAGTAAATCTGATGGAAAGCTAAATTCTTAAAGTTTTCTATAAAAGTATAAATTGACCATTCACTTAATGAATTCACAATTTGCAATTAAGCTTCTTCGGGGGAGATTTTTCTCGTTCATGAATCATTTGTATTATTGATGCATCCCTGTTAATGTGTTGCTAACAGAAATACTGAAAGGCAATTTGAAAAGTTTAAAAATGCCTGATCAGTCGAAATGCATGGTGCGGATATCGCTCAGAGGAATTTTAAAATTACTAACGAGGACAAATGCTGTATTTTACATCAATACAATCGGATCACCTGTGTGAAAATCCGGTTTGAATAATCTGATGAATGTTCAGACGAGACAATAAGACTGAAGACGCCGAAGTTGTCGAATTACATTATTTATCAGAGCTTCATTAATATCCGAGTTCAATCATCATAAGCACTGTGTTCGCATATAAGAGAGATCAAAGTACAATCGAAAATGAACATATACTCCCATCAATGATAGCAATAAAAAACTCACCTTGAAGGGCAAGGTGTGAGGATTGCGATGGGAAGGAGCTCCCCAAATTCCTCTCGCTATTGGAAAGACCTTGAGTTTGGCAGACGCTGAGGCACCTCGAATGGCAACTGCCATTTCTGGGTTGCTTCTTACACCCAGTCCGATGTGACCATTGTAATCACCAACACCTCCGAGGGAACAGAATTAAATCAGAAAGCAGCAAAAATAACTGTCAATAAGAAGAGTTAGTCTTTTTCCACACGTGAGTATAATAACTGAACGCAAATCACGAAGAAAAGTTCTTTTCTGTCGGGATTATTTCGGGGAGCACTCAAGATAATCCGTGAATTTATTTATGGATCATGAGGTCAAAATATTTTGTCTCTCAACATGCTACGAGGCACATTCTATCCTCTCATTCCGGCCAATTCGGAAGAATTAAAATTAACAGTCGAGAAAAAAATCCACACGTATCGAGAAATAGATCCTGCATTTGACGGGAGCTAAGCACACATCAAGCGAAGTTCTTTCCTTCGGAATTTTTTCGGGGAGCGCTCAAAGAAGAGAATCCCTGAATTCTTAACGGTTGCTAGGTTGGAATGTTTCGTCTCTCAAAATGTTAGAGGCACATTTAATTTTCTTCCGGCATATCCGGAAGAATTCAAACTAAAAGTCGAAAAAAACTCGAAACATTTCGAGAAATTGATGCATCCTTCTGACAAGACACGTAGTAAATTTCCAACAATGAGTTAACCACCATTTCCTATATACAGTACATAGCTCTATGACAGAAAAATGTAAATAAGCCGAAGAGATACAACTAATATAAAGGCCACAAATGAGCATCGTTCGTTGCTGCAATAATGACGCCAGATATCGCGGTTATCGCGTGGACATTACGTTCTTGACTGAAACGTCGTTCAAAAAGGAGATTGATCCATACGAAGAAGGAAGAAAACTGAAGCGAGTTGATGGACGGGAAAAACAGGCCTAAAGCGTTTCTTGCAGGAAAAGGGAAGCACTTGGGGGCATGCAAGCATCGATTCGCGGTGCCGGGGCTGAAAGGCCTACCAATTATGACCCTGTAGCGGAATTGCGTGCCCAAGTCCGTGGTCTTCTGGATTTTCGTGACGGCCAGGATTTTTTCCCGCAGCACCGACCCGAGCAAGCACTCAACAACCTCGACCTCCTGCGGAAAAACCGTGGGCACAGGGGAGAACAAAATTCAGCTGAGATTTAATCTGTAAGACACAGCACACAACGGGACCAAGCGACGATTGCATTACATTGGCGAGGTTGGTGACGTGCGGCGCGCGCGTGATGGTCAGATAAATCATCCTATAGGGTTATTGTAATTAGGAACAGATGATGAGGACACCATCAGTATGCTTTTGTTCAGTAGTTAGGTGTTAAAAAAGGAAAAAAGTGGCTAAAGCAGGCTGAATTGTGGGACAAGTGTCAAAGTGCAAGTCAACCTCCCTGCAAATTTGAACATCATTGAATTGTGGGACAGTCTAATTGCGGGAGGTCAAATTGCAAGGTACCACGCAGCATATTTCATAATCCAGTACTTGACAGCAGCTTGATTCCAGAATCGTAGATCATTAAATCCTGGCTGTTCCAAAGAGATGCAAATACAGTAATTCTATAAAAGAGCAATCATGTTTGACATTATTGCATTCACTGAAGATCAATTTTGTATAGGATTGAAAATTTGATCAGAGTTTTACATGCTTTGGGTTCAAAAAAGTCACCTGGCAGATATTACAAGAACTGTAAGCTGACAAAAATTTGTTTTGAAGAATTTCGAGCTGGTCCTCAAATAACGGATTCAGGATGCATCAGCAAAAATTAATACAGCTGATATTATACACAGTACCTGTGTAATTAAATATTTTGCAAATGCTTGCATAATCTTTGTACCTACAACAATTTTCTTTGCATAAAAAATAGTTGGTGGTCCAGTCGTCCAGAGTTTTCTATATACTCCCTGCTATATATAAAGGCTCTGTACAGCAAACTTATCTCTTAAACGAATTTTTTCCCGGCCCTTGAATTTAGTTGTAAAAGAGAGTCTGCGCATATTTTTAAAAGTATTATTTTCATTTTAATTTTCAGTAAAGCCTTACTTCATTATTCCATTATTCGAGACTTCGCGGAAAAATTTTTGCACAGATTGAATCATGCTGACGCTGAACAGCAGAGCAATGATGGGCGAACAAAAGCCGTATTCATTTTATATAATTTTCACAACATTCTTTTGCATTTTATTCGCGATGCTGGAAATACATAATGTACATCCCTTTTCCTCATGCTTATTGACAAGAAAATTATGAAACCCCCCAAAATACAACATCTACGCCGAAATACTACTTTTAGTCATTGCGAAATTCAGCAAATATTGCAACAGCATAAATACTGTAAATATACCTAATGATCAGCAATTTGCACTGACGTTTCTTACAGGTGAATTTAGATCTCGCATGAATGATTCTTGCATTTTTAGATTACATTTGTTTAAAAAAAAGCAAGATTTTCTTCTGAACCGATATATATATATAGGTATACCACATCAAGCAGAGCATACCTTGAGCGGCAAGGAATACAGGAAAATTTCTTCTAGGCTCGAGATTTTCCCGGCTTTCACCAGCCATCCAAGGTTCGTAGCAGGAATCCACGATTTCCTGTCTAATGGGTGATGATGGCGATAGGAAGAACCGTGGGCCGGCAGCATTCCTAACCTGATGTGCAGTGCTGTATGTAACCAGCACCAGCAGATAGAGCTGCTGATGAAAAGCACTGCTGTTGCTGCTGTTTGCTGCTATCTGCGATGAATAAGGCGCGATCATCTTGCGATGTACCTCCGGGGAACCGATTCCCTGACGATGATGGCTGTGCTCTGCATATTTGGAACACAGAACCTTTTTTTCGAACAAGATTTGTAAGGTAAGGTATAAAACCTGGGAAGCAAGACACTGCGTATAAAACCACGTACATTTCCGAAAAAAATAGAGCTTTTGACACATGTTCAAGAGGGTACAAACAAAATTCTGATTCGACAGATAAATTCATTCGGCTTCCTCGTACAGTACAAATTATACGAACTTCTCGATTCCTCTTCAAAAAAATGATTTTGTCTCGTTTCAAAAAAGAGTTTTAACGAAAGCAGCTTTTGTAAAAATATGGATAATACCTTGAATATAATGTTTAAAAAAAATTACACATGCGTCAGAAATATTTTCCTGGCAAATCTCAAAATCTGTATGTATGAGAAAACCAAGAAATTCAGCACTGGAATGACGAACTGAGACCTAACCACGAAAAAACACCGAGTTGGCTCTTTGATTAATTAAGCTCCGCTTACCTATGCACACGTATTTTACTCACAACATGGCTCCCCATCTGTTGCACGCGAATGATGAGAACTCGCGGAGTCTCCGGGGAGCGCCGTTAGTATTGGGTATTATCTTTAAGGTTGTAGAACAGTGTCTTTGGGGAATTCTTTCGGGTGAAAGTTCGTAACTAGGGCATTTTCGGCCGTGTCTCATTGCGTGAGGTTGCGAGAAAAAATGCACTGCGGCGCAGCTAGCGAGCACTTGTTGGAGCCTGCTGTAGGTAATACTGTGTTGTGGGATCGTGCTGCAGCAGCCCCGGAGATCGCCGGCGGTGGCTGGCGCATTGAATCCTGATGAACCCCGAGACGTCCGTTGGAGGTGCAGCAAGTGTCAGGTCCGGAAATGCTCTTGTGTTCGAGCTTACGTTGCCCCTCTCCGGCGTAAAGCGCATGCGCCGGCCATTCGCGGCATCGCATATTGAGGTCGTGAAACCTTGTGGGTGCCTACCTGGTGAATGCTTAAGCGGTGATTCGGAAGGATGGAACGTATATCGAGGATGGCCTTGAACAATAGTGTGAAGTTCGCTGCGCTTCTTTTCAACTCCGTATCACAGAAGATTCAAAGTGCTAGACCTTAATAAAAGGCGGGGTGTCAACCGCGAAAGACTTGTGTGCGAATGCATGCTGAAAACTGAGACCCATCGATCAACGTCGCACTTATGGCTGCATGCCAAGATTGCAAGGACCATCGCTAGCCAGAACAATCTGATGAAAATTACCTTCTATTTCAGTTTCCGGTTCTCGTCGCGTTCTAGTGTTTCGTAGGTGGAACTTCCAATCATCTACAAGAACCGAAGATGTCATCGTGAGTATATGTTCTTTCCTGTGAAGAACTGATCTCTTATTATGTTTCTCCTTCGCAGCAAAATTTCGAAGGAGACTCTTTACGAGTGTGTCGGCTCCATTTTGGAGTATTCAAAGACTAAGAAGCGTCGTTTCACGGAAACCGTCGAGCTCCAGATCGGCCTCAAGAACTACGATCCGCAAAAGGACAAGCGTTTCTCTGGAACCGTGAGGTAGCGTCAGCATCATTTTAACCTGCGATTACCGTTGCATTTGCCCACGGTTATTCGTCAGGTAGCCGAAAGGCGGACCTGCACCCAGGGTCTTAAATTAACTGGGTAGGATGGTTCTGGCAATGCTGGGCCTTCCGCTAGTTTGTAGCTAATTCTCGGAGTATGTTTACTTGTGTGAGTTACTAAGAAGGGAACGTTGGGATTGTGGCTTCTTATACCGTAGTTCACTATTTTGAAAATCACGGTTTTCAAAGAAAAGATCTATGATTTTAGATTGAAGCACATCCCGCGGCCGAAGCTCAAGGTTTGCATCTTGGGTGACCAACAGCATTGCGACGAAGCTGCTTCAAACAACGTGCCATCTATGGATGCCGAAGCATTGAAGAAGCTGAATAAGAACAAGAAGCTCATAAAGAAACTAGGTACTGTTTTTATTGACTCGAGCCTTCTTCAGGCTATTGAACTCATCAATGTTGATTGCAGCTAAGAAGTATGACGCCTTCTTGGCTTCTGAAGCTCTGATCCGTCAGATTCCGAGACTTTTGGGTCCCGGATTAAACAAGGCTGGTAAGTTTCCTGCTTTGTTGAATCACTCCGAATCTATGATGGGAAAGATCGAGGAGGTGAAATCCACCATCAAGTTCCAAATGAAGAAAGTAAGTCGACAGCTTCCAGCACCTTTTTATTATTGTTCATTTCCTGGCTTCCCTGCCGTGTCTCTTGAGCTCATCCTCTAACCATCGTTGACGGTAGGTTAGATCGTACCTATAATGTTATGGCGTAGGTGTCCGCTAAATGTAGTCAGTTGGTTTCTGCACGAGGGAAGTTCATTGTTTGTTCTGGTCGTACCGGGGTTAGATCGAGTTCGTTATGATATTCTCAGTAACATTGGTCGCCATTTTTGCACCAGTGGCTCTTGAAAACTTGAGATGTGCGGATCATATTGGGCAAGGAAATATTCTGTTCTCTTAACTGGGTCAGGTGGTATTGCACTTCACTAGCCGAAGGAGGAAGTATGTGAGCTAACGTTCTCATTCTGGTCTTAGGTCCTGTGCATCAGCGTTGCCGTTGGACACGTGAAAATGGCACCCGATGAGCTCGTGCAGAACATCCATCTGTCGGTGAACTTCTTGGTGTCCTTGTTGAAGAAGCATTGGCAGAACGTGCGCTCGATGCACATCAAGTCAACTATGGGCCCGGCGCAGCGACTGTACTAAATTCGTTGTGCATGTGGGAAGAGAATTAAACGTTCGATGGAACTCGTGCATTCCTCACTGGTTTTCATTCCGTTGCCTGGTTTGCTTGGGGAGCTCAGTTGGGAGTTTTTATCGTTCAACTCATAAATTTCTTCGTTTTTGGAATAATCTCTCTCTCTCACCAAAAAATTATATTTACACGCTGGGCACCGGGAAACCTGGTGATTTGGTCCCATTGCGCGAAAGTTGGAGTTTCCGTAAAAGTAATTTCTTGGATGTGTTCACAGGTATAATGGCGCCTTCGAAAGGTGGAGCAGCGTTTTCATTAAAGGTTTTGTTGAAACATGCCAGGAATGTTTCATCTCTTCTGAGCATTTCGTTCCTCAAGAAAGTGTTCCTCGCACCGTCGTTAACCTGGATTCTGGGTTCCGCCTTGCTAGTCGCTGAGGTCTTCGTCACTTTATTTGTGATTCACAACGTTGCTTGTAAGTCGTGAAAGAAGACGACGAAATTCGTTGTGATGGCTATTGAAGCTTTGAAAGCTGTCAGATTTTCTCTTGTCATAGACAGATATCTGCATGCATGTCTGAAAGTCAAGTTCAAGCTGAAAATGTGCAAAATACTGTATGTAGCAAAACCGCCGGCTGTAAAAGTTCGGGTTAGGTGGTTGATTTGCGGTCTTCTAAGATTTGAAGTACTGATTTAATTTCTTACGGCCGTAGCTACTGCATATAAATGAATGTAGTTCGCACCCTTCTATGAAAAATTCATTGAATAATTTTCAATTGCTGTTGCGCCTTGTTTTCGCTGTGGACGTGGAATGCTACGTTCCTCAGAAAACAGAATAGGAATTATTTCATAGGCTTGAAAACTTGGTTTCTTCGACTTAGTAGTTTACTGAACTAGATTTTGACCAAATCTGAAATGCAACGCGTTACGAATCTGTTTCCAGATACGGAAATCGATTGGAAGGCGTACATGCAGGAAGTTGAAGGAGTTGTGAATGGCACATGGGATTATTATCAGCTCAAGGGTGATACTGGACCTTTGGTTTATCCAGCTGGATTTGTATACGTTTTCATGGGATTGTATTACCTGAGCAATGCGGGTACGAATATCCGCCTGGCTCAATACGTTTTTGCTGTGATGTACATCGTCATGGTGTTCCTCGTGATTCGGTTGTATGATCGATCTTATAAGGTTAGTAATGTACTTCATTGTATACGAGAGAATTTTTTTTAACGGTGCTGTTTGCCGTTATTTTCGTAACCCTAGGTACAGTTTTCCGGTTATTTCTCTAGAAAAAAATTTAGGAGCGTGAGGTTCTTTTTTCATGGAATAATGTTTATCTTGTTTAATACCGGACCCGCGTTTTCGCCTTTTGTTGACCTGAGGGTAATCGTACGAAGTCACGCAAATACTGCTTGCTTTGCTTGGATTTTCATCGCTGGGTACATGTTCAGTCTTCCGTTATTTATTCAATCTTTGGTTGAGACATAGGCGAAGGTTCGATGGTTTATTTTCGTAGGTTCCTCCGTATGTGCTGATCTTCCTGTGTTGCACATCGTATCGGATCCATTCCGTTTTTGTGCTACGATTGTTCAACGATCCGGTAGCACTCTTATTTGTTTATATTGCCTTGAACTGTTTCATGGACCACAGATGGCGTCTGGGATCATTCTTCTATAGGTGAGAGGACTATTTCATTTCTGATGAATTATTTGAAATTCGTAGACCGACATGCCGATAAATGATATAGGCTAGCTTGGATATGAAAGGCGTGATTGATCGGGCCTGACGCACGTTTTTGAGACCGTGGAATTATGCTGTACATTTTCGGAGTCAGAACCCTTCAAATCATCACTGTTGGAAGAAAAAGATCAGCAGAGCCGTCTATTTATTGAGGATTCTTAATCCTGACTTCTTTCTTTTGCTTTGCCGTCAACATTTTTGGGCAACTGTCGCATGCAGCAAAAACAATTTAAGAACAACTACGTAAATCTTTTCGATAGCGGACCTACTGTCGTATCTCGGACTTCGTAATTTTCTTTCATTGTACATAATTATGAATTTTACTCTTCCAGCTGAATATTCTGTGTTACAACCGGGATTAGCTAAAAATGACACTAGGCAAACGGCGATGTAATTTCAACCTATAAAATTTGCACTCATCTAAAATGTCGACAGGGAATGCAGGAGACGATCGAACCAGCTGCAGTACATGAACGCGTTCTCGAAAGTTTATTTTCTTTGTGATGTTAAAAAAGTTATATAATTCTGTTTCAGTTTGGGTGTTTCGATCAAAATGAACGTCCTGCTCTTCTCTCCGGCTTTGCTGCTGATTTACATATCTTGCCTGGGCATGAAGGAAACTGTGGTTAACTTAGGGATTTGTGCCGGAGTTCAGGTAATTTTTTATGGCAGTAAACGTACATGTTTCGAGTATTGCCGAAAATGAGTGTTCGTTTTTTTTTTCAGTTGATCCTAGCAGCACCTTTTCTTCTCGCCAATCCTGTTGCCTATATGGAGAGATCGTTTGATTTGGGTCGAGTTTTCTTCCATCAGTGGACCGTCAATTGGCGATTCCTACCGGAGGATATTTTTGTATCGAGGTCATTCCATCTTGCCTTGTTGTTGCTTCATATCTTGGTCCTTGTTGTCTTCGCCAAAAATGTTTGGCTGAGGTGAGTTCCACTCCCAAGCTTCCACATTTTAATTAGTTGACCAAAAAAATTGTTGCGTTTCAACTGGGCTTTTAGTTCAGAAAAATTAGCTGAAGATCAACTTTTTCTACGCGTCGGGAAGGCCTGAAACAGTGTACAGGCTCTCGCTAAGTGATGTCTCTGAAAGTTTGTTGAGGATACTAGTATCTTGCCTTTGGTCCGAATCGCAAAAGTTCAGGTCCTATTTCAAATTAGTCTGCTGTACGTGCAAGTTTTCCACCTTCAATAACGACCGAATTTTCCTCTACAACTCGTCGCTCTGTTTGTCGTGGAGTTTTGACGAGGTAATACTTTATTTTGAGTTTTCGTTGAGAAGGATGAAAAAAAATGTTTACATTGTCAAATGAAAAGTTTGACTCATTTGTAGCTTCATCGAAAATTTTGGAGTTCAGATGTCTGGGATAATCTAAACTTTTGCCTCGAAAATGCTTTCAAGGACATAGGAAGGTCCTGGCTATTCCTTGTTCGAAGAGGAATTTAAGAATATGCAAGAAAGCGACGGAGCATGACGCCAATCGATCATATGTTCCACTTGCAGAATTTTGAAGAACTACCCGGTGTTGGTTGGTCACGGTGGGCTGCCGTATGCTTGCCAGCTCCTGTTCCTGCCGCTTTTCACAGCGAACTTCATTGGCATTGTTTTTGCCCGTTCACTGCATTATCAGTTTTACGTCTGGTATTACCACTCCATCCCCTATCTGTTGTGGTCAACTTCCTATCCTACCGTACTTCGGTGAGTACCAGTTGCGATATTTTCTTGGATTTTCGCGTAAATTTTTGGAAATGTTATCAAATCAGTCACGGTTAGAGGTAGTCTTGCGTTAGAGGTAATTCTTTCGATGAGTTCCTTGTTACGAGTAAATTTGAAATTTTTTATGCACTCTTCAACTTGCACCGGAGATGAGGAATTGGCGATAATAAAAGCGCAAATAACTGGACTTGACTAGATCACTAGAAATTCGACCTTTTACATTTTTTTAAAAAGTACGGTGTGATATTTTCCCCACAGTGTGATCAGCTGATGGAGTACACCTTCACTAGAGTTCGATGGGTTGAAAATCTGGATTTACTCGAGACGGAACGATACAAAATATCCAATTTATAATTTTTCATATTTTAATTCAACGTGATTTTGTGTACAGTGCGGTGGTGTCTCAGTTCACGGACTCAATCTATTCCGGCAAGAGGCCAATTTTTCAAAATGTCTGTTCATTAACGGAGTACAGTATTGGAAAGCTGAGTCTCAAAAGGAAGGCGAACTCATTACCAGTCCATTGAAAATTTATTTGACAAATCAATTTTCAAATCTAAACTGATGGAACATCATAAAATAACGGATAAACACAGAAATGAGAACACAGAACACAGAACCGTTGATCAACGCCGTCAATAAATTCAAAAAAGCCAAATCGGAATATGTAAGTCGGATGTTAAGGACCTTACTATTTCTTGTGGAAAATTATTGCGGTCGAACCTGTTTGAGTCAAACTTCAAGCGACCAGCAAAGAAATTTGAGTTATTAGGGAGGTTTCAAGTTTTTCTTGGGGAAAAGAAAGACAAATTTCAGGAAATTGTAATCGGTGATATTCTGGGCCTTGAATTGTTACTTGAATGAGTTTGATAGGATGCTGAACTTGGAGGCAAGCGTTCCTTTGCCTGATTTATCTTTCACTTACTTTTAAAATACATCAGGTTACATTTGTGTTGCTTTTCTCTTTCCTGTGTCGATAAAATAATAACCAAAAGGCCTTTAAAGAATTTAAGTTACGGAGGTTTGAGGAAGTAAGCATTGGAATTCGGGAGAATTTTCAATTCATTGATTCTAAGGGAATTCAGACAGTGGTTTGAAAAAAAATTCGATACAGGAAGGTTCGAGTTATTGAGGTTTAAATGAACGTGTAATTGTGACTTTTTTTGCAGTTGATACTGCAACTATGTATGTCCAGAAATCGGTGCAGACCGAGTCCGCTGTGCGAATTAATTATGATTGCGTCCGTTACCCGGGGTATCCCATCTATCGTATTTCTCTTTTTAAACATGCGTTTATTACTGTTCTGCTAAGCGATTGTAGTTTGATTTGAGATCTTACCGCCGCAAAAATTAGTGACATCATTGTGTTCTATGACTGCAGTTTGCTGCTGTTCGGAATCATCGAAATGAGTTGGAACACGTATCCGTCAACGGATTTCTCATCCGCGGCGTTGCACTTCAGTCACGTTGTGATTTTGATTGGTTTGTGGCGAAATCAGCCGCCGCTCTCAGCTGCCGTTGAGGAAATGGGCAAAAGTGCGCAGTTGAATGATTTCAACGCGAAACTGTCGGAACTGGTTCAAGATGCCGTGAATGAACCCGGTGCTGAGGCAAATCCCGAGCCGGTTGTTGTCAAACAGAGCGCGAATAAGAAAAATCCGGATGGAGTCGTGAACTTGAAAAACAGGAAGCGGCGTTGAAAAATTGAAGTCCGTTGATGGAAATTGAGCTTGTGGCGTTTTTCGCCCAGAAGATCTCTTCGTTAATGTAAACCAACAGTGTGTGATTCGATTTCAGCATTAGAGACCCCCTGTTGTTATTTGTGCCTTATGTTGTGCTATTCGAAATCTATTTAATTAACTAATCTGTGCAATTGTGTATTCTTGTCATGTTCAATCTCTCACTGTCGGAAAGGTACTGTATTTCCGTACATCAATCGGAGAGTGCCAAGAATTCTTGGGCGAAATCAAGCAGAGCTTTTTACTCAGCCAAGATTAGACTTTTATATAATTCTTGCTTCTTTATTTTCCAATTCGCGAATTTCTCCGAAGAAGAAAAAAACCTGCTGGAATCTCTCAACAGTGATTTTTGAGGGACCATGAAATAACTCATTTCACAGCGATTTGAAGTTGAGCTGCTCGAAAAACAATCGGAGGTCCGCTGAGACCGGAAAATATTGCGTTGTATAGTGAATATCGCTTTAGACCGAATTTGCAATTCGTTTGTGTGTGTCAAACCGTGTCTGATTAAGTACATTTTCTTTCACGTTTATTGCATGGCGAATGAAACAAATTTGTGAAGTTCGCTCATTTTCCGTTAGACTGAAGTTCAGTAATTTGGGAAGTCATGTACTGTACTCCGTAGTGTGTTGGTGTTCCAGCAGTCTCCATGGGGATGTCATTATTTATTTATTTATTTTTGCGCGGTACTGAATCGTGAAGAAGTTTCGGACCTCTGCCCCTATGTGTGTGTGTGTCCCTGTTGTTCGGAATCTGAATTTAAAGTATGAGGTATTATTGTACCAGAGAAGTATCGCTGCTTTCGAGATTATTTCAAGGGTTTTTGTAAAAACCTTCGATGACTTCATGTCTTGACACAGCGCCGGTTTCTTCGGTGAGTTAGAAAAAAAATATTTATTTTCATCAGAATGTATAAGCATGAGTAACCTCATTGTTCAGGTTTGTTCTTGAGCTTCATTTCAGTTGAAGTTGATGGGAGTTATCGATGAGCACGCTTCATGTCACTGAATGTAAAGCTGATGGCCATGCTTAGACTGCTTATGACGTTCGCTTCCATTTTCGGAAATGATCCGCATTAGAAAAGTTCATGTTCTGGGCATTATGGGTGGAGATGTAGCTCAAATCTTTTTTTTTTTAACCACTCCGGATACCTTCTAACTTCGGAGTAAATGAGAAGGAAGTCACAAAAATATAATTTGAAGCGAAACCCTTATTTTGAATCGCACGAGAGCAAAATTTTCTAACTTCCATGATGTCTAGTGTACAGCAGCCGTGAAGATTGGACTGACTAATTCTTGTAAATTTAGTCCATTTGAATGCGGACATATTCCAGGGACTCATGACTTCCAGAGTTAATGAAGTAATCTGCTGTCCTTGGAGTGCAAGAGAAAGTGCAGGGTTTAAAGGAATTTACTACTCGGTGAAAGTTTGATTACCCATTTGCGTAAATTTTCGGCTTAGTTACGTACGGGACATTACTATTAGTCATGCTCTGACATCTTACAGGCACGTCAATTGAAGTACTGTAGTTCAAAATCGCTTCGAGTTTTATCTGCCTCAGAATTTGTTAAGTGAGTGCGTGAGCATCGCCAGTTTAATTCAAAGCACAATGCTTTTCTGAAATTATGCGTTTAACGAGAAAGCACTGCGGCATGAGAAAGTTATTCATATATTTCTTTCTTTGTTTATTCACGATACATTTGAATGCATTCTGCCTGCTTCACACTTGACGAAAAATACCGATTTTTCCCCTTTGCGATAATTACCGTGACACGCGATGGAATTCTATTGGCGGGAAATACTACGGATTATTCTTTTCATTTAAATCTGGCCCAGCCAACAAAACAATGTTTTCATATACGAAAATAAAGCCTTTCAAAAGAACCAAATTGTAAGAAAAAATTTCAGCGAATAATTCCTTTCGACTTCAGAAACGCCCTGTCGGAGGGTTCGCGGCCAAGGAATTCCTTTAACATGTCCTGAGGATCTCGGGCGCCACCGGGTTCGAGAATGGTCTTCCTATACCGCATTCCAGTTTCAGGGTTCATCATGCCTTCCTGCTTGAATGTTGATTCGTACATATCCGCACTGAAAACTTCACTCCACTGCGTAGGAAAAAAGAGGAAGTCTCAGCAAGAATGTTGAGCAGAAAATCGTTTCCACTCGAGCACATCGTGGACCCAAGCTACGAATGCGAGGTTCGCTCCAAAAAAAAGGTTAATTTTTGTTGAAGGACCCTGGCGGTGATACGATATAGAATGCAGCATTTGAATAACGGGAACAGGTATGCCTTCAAGTGTCGCAAGATTCAGGGAGAGCTGCATGAAGAGAGAATTCTGTCGAACCCTTGAATACTTTCGTACTGCCCTCAAGCGATTACGTGATTCAAAGCAAGCCCCAGGCTATACTGACGACAAATAAATGTTAATCCAGCCTCAAACAGAGTTCCAACCTTTAGTTCTCCCAATTTTGCTTCAAAAAGTACTGTATTGAATATCACAGAATACTGAAACTATTTCTCTGCGGATTTTCGAGTCACGTTTTGTCCTTTCATTTATGGCTTTGATTTTGCCTTGCAGTTATTTTGCTTCCGAGTATTTTTTTCGTGTTTGTTTTCTTAATTTGTGGAATTTACTTCCATAAGTGCATATTACGCTGGTATTAATGATACAATGTCAAGAACTCATTGGCGACTTGAATTTTTAACGAGTAGAACATCGTGAAATTTTTAAATTCAAAATACGGAATCAACTGGCGAGGCATGAAATCTCGACGTTTACCAGATAACCGTAGTAAGATGCATCGTATCCGCCGGCCAAATGGCCGAAATGCGCGGGAAAGTTCGTCCCTTCTAACGGTTCAATGCCCAGGAGGACTTTCTGCAAATCTCTGTGGACTTTCTCAGCATTCACTGATCCGTCACCAAAATGAATCTCCTGGTCGAGACGCGAAAGCAATATTTGTCGCAACGTAAGTCCGCCAGCATTTGCAGAATGTGACTTGACGAGGCTTCGGATGATGTGGTCTGGCATTTGTTTTCCGGTCTGTAAGAGATGTTCCGAGTTCGAGTCTCAAAAGTTTGCATGCCATTTTACATCTTCAGTTTTGCTCGTTGGCTTTAGAAAAGGGTCATTAAAGTGATTGATTGCCGTTCATGACAGAGAACTTCCGCCAATACAGTCTTCGATCTCGACGATTTCCGTAATTTCTCAAGCTGGAAATCTGAAAAAGACCATCTAACAGCCTACTAAAATATACTTCAGCTAATTTTAGAAACTATTTTTTATTCAAAACATTTCATTGCATAAATAAATTCCACGTTTTTATCCATCGAAGACGACGGAAGAAATCTGACGAACTTTTGAAAACTCCCGCATACAACTCAACCTGCATCACAATTGTTGAAAAATATTGCGCAAGGAATACGGATTTCATTCAGCACACAGTGAATATATCTTATAACCTGATAGTGTTTGGAGAGATCCTTAATGATTTTAGGCTCCCATGCCCAATTCTCGAGCATTTGTGAAGGCGCTTCCACGAAGTCTGTATCCACTCCGTTCAAACCAAAGGCGTAGAACTTGTTTCGCCGACAAATTTCATGCATGACGTGTCCAAATTCGTGGAAGAAAGTAGTAACCTGTAAAAAATCAGGTTGGTAAACCGATAGACCCAATTAAAATTTATTCGAATATTCTTCTTCGACCGTATAATGATGTATTGTATGCAAATCAGTACAGTTCTCCGTTTTAGATAGAGCGCGATTGTGAATCCACAAGCGGTATTATAGTATTTCGAATGCTTCATGAATTCGGAGGCGAAGTAAAATTTTTTACGAATTTTTTCAAGGAAGACTGGTGATTATTAAAGCACCCAGAAGAAAAAGAATCGTGGGAAGCTAAGAACTAAACATATGGCTTTGGTTCTTCACACTGCAAGAACCAACAGCCCCCAACTCTAATTGTATCTTTAATTACATTAAAAAATAAGGTTTCACCTGAGAGTTTCATGCTTTTTTATCAGCCCTTAAGGTAAGATTCCTATTCAAGTTGTGGAGGTTCACAAGTTAACATGTCCCACGTCAGTTGTGGGTTAGTTCCGGTATTTTTTATACAGGTTACTATTGTCAGGTTAGTAAAGCGAGCGACACCTGCCTGATTTCTCGGGCAGTAGGATTGAACATGAAAATTAGAATTCACTACATGACGACAGTGAGTAAAGTACAGTACTGTACAGTATTAGATACAGCACTAACAGAAGCTACACGAAACAATGATGATATGGACAGCATTTGACAAACTTTTGGGGACTGCAGAAAAAAGTTTATTATACTGGATAAATTTTTTAAAACAAAATTTCCAAAATTGATGACCGGAAAACGTTTTGCCCATCAGACCTGCCTGCAATCAATTAGATCTTGATTTTCTGGCATTCTCAGATTTTAGATCATTGCTGAAATAGACATAGCAAAATGTTTTGTTTTTAATTAGCTTCAGTCATACATTCTATCAGTTCCACCCATATCTTAATTCTGCAAGGATGATGTGAAAATCTCTCTTCATTCTGGGAGGATGTTGTGTGGAAACACTTCGAAGTATGTTTGTCATGGATGACAACTTCCACCCATCATACTGCAAGAACCAGTCACATTTGGGATAAGAAATTTCTGACTTCGCCTGCCTCAGTCAGGAAATTTATACCTGAAGAATCTATTAAACATTCCTCAAAAAAGTATACTGGAATTGGGAAGTTTTAACAAGATTGTTTCGCTCGACAGGTTTGCATGCTTTCTACAGGGACTTCATAAAAATTTTGTGAATCTTGTATATTTGTTGTGAAAAGATTTTACTGCTATGAGTGAAACATAAAAAATGCAGCTATACTGGCAGCTGTTTTACTATTACAGTATTCACCATTACTATTCCAAGTTACAAACAATATTTGTCGCATAAGTTACCTCTCCATGAGTTAAAAGAGATGGCAGGTTTGCAGTGGGCGGAGTGAAATTTGACACAACAGCGCAAATGGGCTGCATGATCTTGTTATCCGGTGTTGTCCAATGCGGCTGCAGTTCGAACATTGCAGCATGTCCGTATTTGCCATCTCTCGGATATAAATCCAAGAAAAAGTATCCCATTCTCTGATTCGTGGCAGCGTCTTTCACTTCATACTATGAAAAAAACCAAAACCATTTCTCGTCAATGACAATGTGGGACCAACAGCCGAAATCAGAAAAAGCTTGCCGATGAAAAAAAGCTCGCTCACCATATTCACGCTTTTGTGCCAAACCGGAGCGTCGGGCACGTGGGAGAACTTGAGTCCGAGGATAGTCTCAAAAATTCTCAAGACTCCGGGTACAACGAGGTCGGATTGGAAATATTCTTGTATCAACTTGTGGTCCACATGATACTGTTTCTGGTTGGACAAGTTCAGCAAAAAGCTGTAATCCCAGTCAGCGATGGGTTCGGAACTCTGGCATTCGTCTTCCATTGAGTCGGTCTCATCAAGAGAGCCCAAGACATCAATTCTTCCCGGCATTTCGTTCGTCTGCGGATACGTAACCAAATGACGCGTAATGACAGATATTATAATGGATGTCAGTTTGGGACTTCTCATGGTTTACAATAAGGAACGTCTGAGAAATAGAATTCGGGTATCCCGTGAAAACCATATTCTTCTTTGCTGGATTTCATCAGGTACTCGTCCATTAATTTATCAATTTCTGTACAGTACTTCACTTCTGCACAAGGCACATTTTATTTCACCTTGGGAAGCCGCTGTCTCAATCGGAGCCAATTCCTCTGCTCTTTCTTCCACAAGGGATCCAGGTCACAAACAAGGTTTTGCAAAAAGTCATCAACTTTACTCGCAGTTTTGGCCATCCTATTCTCCAGCACAAAGTCGGCATGCGTTTTGTAGCCCAGTAACTGCGCTTTTTCGTGACGAAGTTTCAACATTCTCTGCAAAATCGGTCCGTTCGCCTCGGAGCACCTAATCGAGAGTTGAATTATACATTCTTTTCTAAAACATATACAGTACTGTTCCAGCGAAATTTGAATACAGTAATTCCAATCGTTTAAAATAATCTCCCATGCATTTTGTTCGGGCTCACCTTGAAAAATTGGTGCGAAGCACTTTCTTCCGGGTTTCTGCCACTGTACAGCTTCTTAAAATAGGTCTAACATGCGGATTATTCATCGTCACGATGTACAACCCATCTGGCGTCTACAAGAGAATACCATGAAAAATAAAATAAAAAACGTTTCCCAAGTTTTTCGTACTAGATTCAACACTACAGTATAAGAGAGTACAATTTCATACCTTCTCCATGGTGTCCAACGTAACTGCGGGAACCCCATCGAGTTCTTCCTTCTTTAAATGCATGACAGTGTCATTTTCGTCTAGATTTCTTCGAAAATCTAGTTTCAGCTTCGCGAGTTCCTTCTGAAGCTTTTCCATTTTATCTCGATCTTCTTGAACCAAGTGTAAACCTGTGAAACCGTTCAGGAAAGTAAAGAGTTACAGTATTCAAATCATATTACGATATTAAAACAAATATACGTGAGAACTGTAGAAAAATAGGCAAGAAATTGATGTCTTTGATGCAATAGCTGCTAAAAGGGGACCTCTAGCTTCAATGAAATATAGAGTGAATATCAATATACTTGACCGAAATATCAATTCAATTAAAAATGCGCCCCAATATATAAATGAAAAGATATTCAGCTAGTTAATGAGATTTCAATAATTTAACCGGGAGAAAAATTTTTAATCAGCGTCTGAAGTAGGGTTCTTGCTTTAAAAACCGGAAATTTCGGAAGGTCAAAATTTCTGGAAAATAAGAGCCTTTTCCAGAATTTCCTCGGATATGATAATTATCTCACCATGTCGCTTCCCGTCAAATATCAACTTTTCCAGGAAACGCTTTGCTTCGGGACTCAGAACTAGTTTGTCGAGTTTTGCATTGAAAGCGACCAGTACGTCGAAAATGTCTCTTCTCATACTGCAATAACGAAAGAAAAAAAAAAGAAAGGGGCATCATTGAATTTATTTTTCTCGATTTCTTTCAAAAATGATAACACTTCAGAGAAGATTCTAAATTGCAACATGTTACCAACCTCATTTCAACTTCGAAATCATTCCACTTTTTCGCACATTCGGCAGAAACTTTGGTATGCCCTGGGCTTACAGCAAAATGATTGGCAGCCATGATGGGGTAGTATTCCATTCCTGCTAAATTGTCAATGTCGTCTAAAGCCTGAAAAGTAGTCGACACACATTTTGAAATACGCCGAACGGAATTTTAAGAGGTACACGAACTGCTATGTGTCACAAATGAACCTAAACGCGACCAAATCTCATTAGCTAATGTTCGGAAAATCTCAATAATATCCAAAGACAAAAGCAAAGATGTACGCTTTTGAGCATTTAAACAATTTTTTTTTCAAGATCTTTCCGGCAAAATTCTCAATCTTTGCTCAAACTGCCCAAGAGTTTCCCTTATATATTTTGTCTAACCACGAACATTTCAAGCACAGCTCCACAACCTAGCTCTCAGGGTCAAAGATAAGTACCATTTACATCCGGAGGAAATTAATTCGAAATTTATCGATCAAAACAACTCATGCGAAATTTTTTTCGGGCATAACGAAGTGAACCCCGACTATGTTGGGACAAATGGAAAGACTTCTACGAATCCAATCGTAAGAAACGCGGAAAGTGATGGAACCAACAGCAGTTCTTCGAAACCACGAATACTGTCAATAATTTCGTGCCCAATTTCGGATGACCAACTTTCAAGACATTATCTTGATTCGCCTCCTCTGGCTTGACCTTAGCGACTTCATCGTATTTCGCCCGAACTCTCGCCATTAGATCATCTAGGACTGCCTCCATTTTATCAGGACTCAAATTGTATTCCCAGTCAAAATAAACCCCCTCGGGTTTAACTTTCTTGTTCTCCATGTTTTTTGCTGGTGCAAACGAAGGAATTGGACAATAACTTCGTTTGACAGATGCGGCGAAGAAACTGAGGAAGGTCGAAGGTAAATATTTATGTTGAACGATTAAACCCAGATTAACGGCTAATAAAGACACTGGAAAAAATTTAGCTGCAGTAAGAACTGCCATGACGTTGAATTCCGGAAAATGTTGACAACTTTCAGTATTTCCTTGACTTCTTCAAGGTTGTCTTCGGCTAAGTTTGAGAGACTCAAAGGTAATTACGCTGAAACACACTGACACATCACTTGTGCCTTGCATCTCAAACTCCCAAGTCATTGATCCCATGATTATTTTTGCCATGAGACGGTTTTCATAATTTTTCGGGGATGATTTGAGCAAGGATGCGACAGATCTGCTAATTTATTCAAGTTCAAAAATATTTTAGAATGATTCGCTCAGGTTTTACCAGAAATACCTACCAGAAATTTCAAAAAGCAAGACGAGCCTAAAACCCCCGGATGACGTTAACTTTAAGAGAAATTCAGAGATAATGCACGTAGGTGGAGTGAATATGAACAGGAAAAATTCTCACGGAACACACGGAAAGGATGAGCTATATACGCAGGACATTTGAAGAGGTACGTTTTCTGATTCAGTTCCGAGAAAATTCTTTAAAAAAAAAATTAGAAATATGTGGATAGAATGACTTCGGATAACCGTCGGGCATGAGACATGGGCCCACTTGGAACCTGCGGAAATGATTCGAGTTCTTTGAGCCATGAGGCTTTCGAAGCAATTTCCGCACCTCTTAGCTTGGCTTGCTCTTGCAATTTCTTCTCTCGCTCGGGTAAGTCCGATTCTTCAAAGGCATCATTCGAGGAATACGAGATGATCTTCACGAGTGCGCTTTCAGGAAGAACTCTTCGTTTGAGGATATTCGCCGAGAGAAGTTTGAAATTGTTCATTACCCTGGGATTGGAAATCTTATCATAATTATAGCTGGTCGTCACAGCTGAATTAGCTTGACAAGTATGCATCCAAACAAATAAAATAATAAACCTGTTCCGCTGCCACATGTTGAGGCCCTTCAGTTCCAGAATTTTCTGAAAATCCGCAGCATTACAAGTATCGCCTGAGAAGCTGATGTAGCTCCTCACGAATCTTCGTATATCGTCTGTCATCTGCATTTTGGCCATCATAACTATGATCTCAGCTCTCTTCAATCCTGAATTCACACCATGAATGTAGGATGCAGGAGCTGAAACACCACAGTCATCTCCGTAGTTCGGCAAACTATGAAAAGATAATTAAAAATATTTTCAAACTGCGCACAATCGAGTTTGATTCAATATCCCTGCGTTGTATGATTATTTCAGCTAGCGGTGAATTGATTCCCATTGTGGATCAACCTGAGTTTCGAAACAGTGCATGGATTTCATTACAATAACACGTTGGTCACCCTTTATTAGTTTAATTGACAATATAAAATAAATTTGTTCAAGAATTTAGGAACTCATTATTACCTCATCAAAAAACTTCGCACGCTTTCCACCTGCTTCTCCATTTCGTCGCGGTCAACAATAAACAGATCCCGGATGAATTCCGGTATCACTTGCGCAACAAATTTTGCCAAGAAATTGATGAAAAATCGACGAGAGGACGAGAGTAATTCGCGGACGGTGTGAACATCTTCGCCTATAGCTTTTGCCAACTCTTCGCCAATGCTTCGTGAAGCATTCCGCTTCGATTCTTGGGAACGGAATGTTCTGGCAAACACTTGTTCGCAACGACGAACAAATTCTTCAACTAAAATATCAACCGAATCGGAAATGACAGAGTTGAAGCACTTGGTTTCGGCGGAATAATTGACGTTTTCTGTATAACTCGGTTCCAGCATTTCTTTGATCTTCCCTAGAAACACATAATTGACAAAACACACAAAATTAATCACAAGACGCCATTATTCTAGAATTTAGCACACACAAAAAGCACCTGGCAGCTAAAAACCGTTCAGATTTCCGAATACTCTCAGAAATGAGACTTCATGGGAAGTCCTAAACTGAACACGAATATCAAGTGATTCTCGACATCTATCCGAAGTTCCCGAAGACTTCAAAAGCAAGACCAGAACCACAAAAAACGAACAATTCAAATCTCGAAATTCAACCGTGAGAAAGCATCCAGAGAAGTTTTTCAGCTAAGGTTTTCTGAAGTGATATGGACATGTGGTAGACATCATTTTCCGAGGAAGGTCAATTTAACCAGGAATACATTCCAAGTGAGAGCTTCAGTAGTAACGGTCACTTCAGAATTTAAACATTTTTGGGTTCATCAATAAAAAAACGCTTCGAAATTCGAGTCAAACACACCTTCCAACTGACTGCAAGTTTCCAAACAGTACTCCGCAGTGCACAAAATACAGCAAACCCGAGAAACGTCGAAACTCGGGATTTTCTCGGCTTCAGAATCGCAGACTTCTTTAGGCCCAAAGAGCGATTCTCCGACAGAAGTGTCTTTAACAAGATTTTGAATATTCATGACTAGATTCGCCGACAAACGACTGGACTCCATCAGAGATGCTTGCAATCCCGAAGGTCGGGAACTGCTCGAAGTCGTCATTGATTTTTCTTTGACGGGTAACTGGGGCATCAAGACCTTTTCAGCATAATCCCGCAGATGCCGTTGGAAAACGGAACTCAAGGCAAACATATTTTGACCTTGGGTGACCTTTGAGTGCAAGAGATACCTCGTCAGAGTTCATTGTGGATATTTACATCAAAACCAATATCTACCAGTCCACTCTACTAAAAAGAAAAAATTTCCAATGATTATGAAAGGGGGTTTTTGTTTGATATATAAATTAGTTTTCTTCAATGAAATCAACATTGCTAATTGATGTTGAAGAAGAAGACAAAATTAAAACGCGTTCACAAATGTTCACAAGTATAATTTTGACTGTATCGCTTTCCTGAATCGAAGGAAATCAGCTCTTGGTCTAATTAAGATTTTGAAAGCTAAACCAACACACATGTGCTCATAATCTCGATTAAAACCAGGTGACAGAAGAACTCAAGGAATAATCTATCAAAAAAGTGAGGCACATGCGCAAAAAATATTGAGCAATAATTTATTACGCCGTTAACTCAAGTTATGGACCTAGTTCAGAACGGATTTGAAGTCACTAACAGCAAGCACTTCATTTGGCCATGTGATGAAGACGCATGAGGTGGTATTCGTGAACACTGACTCATACTCAAACGGTTAAAAATTCACAAAAACTTGATGACCCCTAATCTACAGCATCTTTTTCTTCACGTTTCTCAAAAATATAAATTGACATAATCTAGTGACGCAGCGTACCTGCGAGCATTGCGCCAAAGCACGTCGAAAAAATAAGAAAAGGTCAACTGCCGAAGGATGAACGCACGATGACGCGGTATTTTCCGTCTTGGTCAAGGGAAATCCTTTGCGCAAAACTAGATCAGCATACGACCTCATGCGTGCTTGGAGCTCAAGGTCTTGGCGGTCAACATAAACGTAGAAAAACGGAATGAAGCATTTCGTGATGGCTGCCTGGGAAAGAAAACCGAGAACAAATTCTGAATTCAAGTTTTTAAAAAATTATTCTTCAATCGTGAAATATACTAATACAATATTGAATGGGATATCCTGAAGCAAAAACTTCAATAAACATTTCACAAGATAACTCTGGAATCGTATACGTAACGTTAGATAAAATCCGCTAAGAGGCCCAGATAATTTCAAAACGCAGTAGAGCATACTCATGAAATTTACGATGCATCAACGTAAGGACATTATTCATAAACTAGATAATCCTTCAGAAAAGATAAGGGCTTCTGTTTGAACAATTCCTCGCTCCAAATCCTTATAATACGCATCAACACCGAGGAAACTAAAAGCAAAAAAAAAGCATTCCAATCGCGGAGTCTCGCGATTCGAACTCGGATTTCCTCAACAACATTCCAGACTAATCTTTCTGTCTTACAACTTCGTCATCAACAATTGAAGTTCGTATAACACTAATTGATAGATAACCTGGAAAGGCGAATTTTCCGGAACAGGCGGAAGTTTCGAGTCCTCTTCCCAAGCGGAGCAATCATTGCCCGGAAATTCCTCAACTTCGTCGATAAATCGGGCATGCAAATACCTGTGAAACCCGATGCATTTCCGCACAGACTCGACGAGAAGGCGTGAACTGAGATCCGATTTCCGCGCCGACATGATTCCCTCGAGTTGGGTACAAGTCAAACAACAAAACCGTTTCGCCAAAGTGGGAGGAACTCGCCACGCCTCCGGAAAAATCTTGGACCATTTCGCGTTGTACCTTATTGAATTTGCATAAATGAGAAGAAACTGAGCACGAAATAAAAATAAAACAACTGCATGACTCAGAGACTTGCTTAATGAAAGATAAAATCCGAGAAAAATAATGATAATGAAGTCAATTCAACGATTTTTTTTTCGAATACGTGCACTCGTACATTTCCCATTAAAAAAAAATCCCTAAATCAACGGCATTCCTCCAAGAAACTCGAAAAATCAAATTTTCTGGAGGCCTTTTTGCTATTATTTCATTGACACAGGAAAGAGAAAGGCAATAAAACTGTGACGTGTTTTGAAAGGAACTGAAAGGCTGATTGGGCACATGAACCCTTGCCTACAAGTTCAGCATCCTGTCAACTCATTCAAGAAGCAATTTAAGGCCTAGAATATCACCTATTACAATTTCCTATACAATGTATTTCTTCTTCGGTTCCAAAAAAAATGCTTCTTCACCTGACTCGAAACTTCGAAACCCGAGACTATAAATTAAATAACCCCGAATCACAACATACAGTACTTCTTCGAAAGTTACCCAATAACTAAACGATACCAAAATGCACACATGATTGATTCGATTTTAACTGAACATGCGAAAGATTCCTTCGATCAACAAGATTCAATTGAGAAAAAAAATCAACTCTTGAAAACCAACAACGGAATTAGCTTCTAACCTGTTCGCGCATTGATGGAACCATAAAAACCGCTGTTCAATTTCGTCCAACCAGCCCTTTTCGCGATCAGCAAACAAACGTTCGTAATCCATGAGCATGTGGTCACAAACGGTGATGATGACATTATCTCGGATAGTCCCATTCAGGCAATCGTCTATCAGTCGACATCCCCATCCGAGTTTTTCGATATCAGGCTCGATAGACGCGCAATGCTTCACAGCATTCAAAAATTCTTCCTGCACCTTCTCTCCTACCTTAGTTAACCAATATTCAGTTACTGTACGCATAGGCATGATGATTGAAATCGTAATAATCTTACTGTCTTCGTCAGAATAATAGGGTGTCAACGTTAAGTAACGATTGACCCGCATTCATAAGTCGACAGATTTTTTTTAGTTCAGTCGGAGTAAAACTTTTTTTTTCTCCAGTCCATATTAGAAATGATGCATGAATTATTTGCTATTCAGCAGTATCGTAATAAATGTCCTTCCAAAAGACACCGCGACGTCTGCTGAAAATGTTTCATGCTATTCTTTGGGTAAAATTCACATCATTTTCACGGCTCAGGAATCGTATGCTTCATTTCCTTTTAAATCAAAAACGGATGAAATACTACGCGACATTTTATACAGTATTCTCAGAAGTGCAAGACTTCGACCCCATGAACAGTTTTAAAAATTGTTCGATCATTAATCCGACTTAAAATCCGAAGGTGAATACAATACTGTACTGTGAAGACAAAAAGGGAAAGTTTCTCCAGTCAAGTTGAGCGAATGTGCTTTCGCCGTCATACAAAATAAATCCTCATCATTCGTGCCCTGAATTTTTGTTCATACACTTCAGGCATACCAAAAAATTCGGGAATCGTGAGTTTTCTGAAATGCCATTGATGTAACATCTATAACAACTTGTCAAACTTACAAAAAGAACCTTGAATGTCGAAGGTTACGTATGAACCAAATAAAAGGTCACGGCTGTCACGCACTGGACAGACTTTCAAACACGAACGAATGAACGAACTCACTTTCGCAGTCATGATTTCGTAATCGCTGAAATAATGCTTCGCCATCGTGTCCATTTTGTAAGACTCGAAGCCATCCAGCGTTTTCTTCAAGCCATCCAAACCCAGCTTCATCCCCCGAACGTCTCCTTCGGCAAGCATGAACCAGAGGGAATTGAGGCCAGCCACGAGCGAGCGAATCCCGATCAGCGTTTTCAAGGCCGTGTTGAGCTTCTCGATCCCAACGCGAAGATTCACGCTTTCCTCATCGTCGCGAATTGCGGTGCAACTTTTCTGCAAGTCCTCCGCAATGGCTTTGGTTCCTCTGTGCGTTTCAAGCGCTCTCGCCAATTCTGCACGAGCCTGAAGATTAACCTTGATTTTAAAATAACGGGGTCGAGCGCTCACAGCGAAGTGCGATGATCCGCTGCTGGTTAACGACAGTTCTGTCGGACCCAACCAGCTCACAAAACGTGGCAGTATCATTTTACTCTACAATTACCTGAAAAAAGTTGATTTAGTTCTTTCTTGTCAACATTTACCCCACTTAATATTTTTTTTCCGATGAACAATTCTGTCTTCTCGACCAAAATAGGTCCTATAACATCTGTATAACATAGCTCAATACCAAAATTGTCAAGAATCTAATCGGACTTTTAATAGCTTATTTGATTCATGAATGAACTGATTAAGTTGATCTTAACTAACCTAACCTAAACTTCATACCTCTGATTCAGTGGAAGGGGATTGTATTGACATATTAATGCAAAATAACTGCGAGGGCAGATTCAACAAAGGAAGAAACCAATTATCTGATCCATTCCTTCATTGGGATATGGGATCAATTCCCTCCCACACGCCGAAGAACGGTGTGTGGGCATTGCGAGAAGACCCCTACATAATTGGTCAAACGCAGGCGAAAATGGATCAACAATCATCATTGATAATAGCAAGTACGCGGTTCGCTGCCACGCCACATTGCCACTCGTATCTCGCCGCCACAATCACGGTGAAGGGCAGCTTTCGCGGAAAAAAAGTTATTGTAGAAAAATTCCATACACGAAGCAACTCGGCTTTTGGATCACCAGCTGGCCTTTCCAGCTCACGAAACACAGCGGCCTTCAGATCGAGTCGGATCTCTTTCAGACGTTCACTGCACTTTCCTATCACTGAGTCCACGCACGATGTCAACGATTCCACGTCGGGAAAAAGGGCGTCGACCACTGCTCCTATGTTCACTCGAGAGCCATGCTCACTGGCGTCGAGCGCGTCGAAAACTTTAACAAGCACTTCCATAATCAAGGATTCTCGCTAATAAAACAATTTTATCTGACTTTCTAGGGATTTTAACGATGGAGTTATTCGCTAAAAAGCATCTCTCAAACTAACAAGAAATAAACACGCTCATTTCTCCTGGAGCAGACTTCCATCCTCGAAGCGCCACCAACAAAATCAAGGTCCGTCATAAAACGTGGCTTTTGTTCAAAATAACTGAGAAATCTCATCAATACCACACACACATAAAGAACGCGCCTTCGATAGCGAAATCACGAACAACGACGTAAAAATCAAAATCCATGATTAGAAAAATGAAGGAGTAATTTGTACGCAAAAACGGCTGCATTCTTTTTCTTTTCGGCTTCAATTGACACTGAAGCGCAACAGCGAGAAGCGAGCGAACAGTTAACACGAATGACTTTCGACACCTTGTTCTTCATCCTCAAGTCATTGCAGTTCCCAAGGGCAATTGCAACTGGTTCACACTTGCGAAAAGCCATCTGACGAACATTTCCGTGGAGGACATTTTCTTGAGTTCAGTCTTCCAAACCCTATGGAAGAAAATAAATATCAATCATGCTACTGTAGTTAGAAGTTCATGAATAGCGAATGAAGCCAGTCGTGGCTCTCACAGCAACTTTTTTTTTCACTCTATCGGGTATGCAACAAAATCACAAGTCAGTAAATACTGTAGCAAGTCATTTTTTATGGGTCGAATTTGGCAAGAAATGCACACTCAAGTGCCTCACAAAAAGGGACGAATAAGTCAAGCAGACGGAGATCGTGTCGACTCCGTCCAGTAAAAATTAAAACTGCGATTTAATCAGGCAATGAAACTATTTTCATCAGAATCTTTCTCAATTTTTATAGACTAAGAAACCGTATCATATATTCGCAATACAGTAATGTAGAGTTTTATGTATTTCTCAAGGAATCGTACATTTTTGAATCCATCAAACTTCGTTTCTAACACCTGAGATTAATAAAAATAATCTGTAGCTAATTCACAGAAATATTTACATTTTTGCGTGCACATGAAGGAGCGGCAGAAGACGCGCAGGAAGAATACTTACTCGTGGCCTTGAATTTTCAAAAAGAATTCAAATAGAGACTCATTTGACCAGGGAGTGCCTTTAGTAAGTACTCACATCACATTTTGTTGACAACTGCCTGCTGAACCGTGCCCACGTTCGTGCTCCAAGACTGCAAAGCTTTGTACCGCACGTCACCTTGGAAAGAAGGCTCCAGTTCCAGAACTTGATTTATCTGATCGATTTGACCAGTGATCACGCTGAAAAAAAAAGTAACGGGATTCAACCTCGCGGCATCGAATTGTCAATTTGTTCACGATGGTTCCAAGGATAGCCGCATCATACTTTGTACGTCCTAAGAGAAATTGAAGCGAACAGATCGACATGAGCTCAACATTTTCTAGAAAATTAAGTTACTACACGGAGAAGACATGAAATAAGGCTGTGGTCCTCCGATGCGGGAAATTGCACATCAGAGACAGGAGTGTAGAGCGTAAGCTTATTTACAGGTTATGTTCAAGATAAAATTCTAAAAGATGATTGAAGACGTTTTTTGCGCTTTCCGAAACTCACGGATACATCAATGGTCACTTTTCATGTACTTCTGCGTGCGGTTTAATGGAGTTGCAAAACGAACGAAAACTGATTGAATTTCAATGTTTTTGGATATCCTGTAAATTGAAAAAAAAAAATAGAATAAAATGCTTACTTGTCAAGGATACAAGACACGAGAAGACTTTCAACTTCCGCGGGTTCTATTTTCAGCTCCCTGGATATGAACGGGATTTGGATTCGAGTATACGGTTGAATGAGCTCCACGAGGACTTTCGTTCTGATATTTTTCAACAACTCTTCTATGTGTTCCCGGATGAAGGGATCATCCATGATGTTTTTCTTGTTTTTCCTCAAAATCGCTTCAAACTCGGTGATATTATTATTTTGATAAGAGTTGACCAAGTTCGTCATGGCGAGGATATCAGGATCATTTCGATACGGTTTCGCCTCTTGACTGTCGAATGGATTAATCCCCGATTTCATCAACCTTTGGGAGAAATTTGAATTCCATGAAACCACTGTGGAAAAAAAAATCACTGATAACACTCACATGTTCGCTAGCACGAGATATTTCAAACATGTGGTTCTCCTTGGACTTCCAGATTCGTCGTAATTTTTGAATGCTTCGAAAAAGTCGGTATGCGCCTTTTCGAATTCACCCTCCCGCAAATGCATCTTACCCCCGCACTCTGAGAAGGAAAAAAATGTGAAGTTTCGATAATTTTCGAAATTCTTCGGTTTCTGATGTAAAGCCCATCTACAGCAGTTTCTAGACAATCGCAGTGAAAATTTATAATAATTTTAATTTAAAAAATTCGAAACAGGACTTACCTCGAATTACACCCATAATGAGTGGATGAGGTATGGCTGATTTTATGTGTAATGATTGTTCATACAGCGCCTTTAGCCGCTTGTTGTTCTTCTGAGCTGTACACATTTGAATTTCCAACGCGTAAATCTCGAGTAGCTGGGTTCCTTTTTTTAGATCGTCTTCCCCATCATCAGTCTAGAAAATATTGGGAAAAATTTTCGTCCATGAAAATTCGACTTGGTCAATTTTTTATACATATTTTCGTTAAATCCCAGTAATTGTAAACCGCAAAATGAAACGCTTAAAATATAATTTGAAAATACTTACTAGACAAGACTGGTGAAGCTGTTTCAACACAGCGGCAAGCTTTCCAAATTCCTCCAGATCGAAGTAAAGCTTGCCAAGTTTCGTACTCGTCTTGAACCACAAGCGATCATTCTTTGCATCCTTCAATGCATCTAGCGTCGTTTCGTAAAAATTCTGCAACAACTCCATCTAAGTGAAAAATAGACAATCAGCAAATATGTATACTGCATACAGCACACTCCGCTTCGCGACAAAAATAGCTCTGGACATAGATCAAAATCCAAAACGTATGCGTTAAACGATGTCAATGATTTGATAAAAGAGAGCGAATAGGAAAATAAGTTTGCGAAAGTTCAACAATCAGAACAGCAAGTTGGGCGAAAGTTCACGTTCAATTTGGCTATAGAGTACTGTATTATCGACTTGCTCATTCGTGCAACTGCTTTCTTTTTCGTGGTATTCCTTTTCAAGCATTTGTTCTTTCGTCTTCACTCGTCTGGGATTTGCGATTCCGATGTTCGCCCAAATTTTACGCGTAAATGACATAATTTAACCTCAATAGAACAAAAGCGCGTAAGCGACGATTCAAAACTCACATTTTTGGACGTGGAGATATTATCCAAAATGGAGTTGATTGATTTCTCGCTGTAATTTCGCGTAACTGCAGATTTCATGTAAGTAAGCAGCTGTTTGTACCTCGTCATCATCTCTTCGTAATTCCCCAGTTTCGAATGGATCTTGATCATCTGCTTGAGAGCCTTGAACCCCCATTCGCCTTTATCTCCATTTGCTGCTTCGAGCTCCAATACGCGTGAAAAACTTTGCAACGCGTTCAGCGGCTCGTCTTCTTTGAGACTCTTGCTACTGTAATACTGATTCTCCAGATCTACATCTGGCTCCGAATTGCTGTCTTCGCTATATTCCTGGAGTTGAAAAAATTGCAGTCAAATTCTTCCCCAGCTTCCATCCGAATTATTAAAATCAATTTTGCATGTTGGCTTTCGTGCTAATATCATTTCAAATCTCCTCATGTCATCGCCCGTAGGAATAAAATTCTTCAGCTTTTTCCAGATTCAACGGCGAATCCAAGTTTACGACTAATTTTTGTAACAATTACACAGGTGTCACCGAAACCTTTGGGTTTGAATAAGTTTGTTTGGGTTATAATAGACTGGGTAATCTGAGTTGGGCTACTCAGGTCAGTTTGGGTTTGGTCAAATTTGAGATTCCGGGATTCATAAAATATATTCATTACAGCAAGGTAGGCCTTTATAAAGAAAACCGCAGCACTTGACGCATAAAAGGAAGGAAGATAATTCACGAATTAGATAATTCCTACAACAAAAATATCGAAGCTGTACGATATCTAAAAGACTTTCGATCCACTTACCAAATCATAGTCTTCATCGTCCGCGACGTTGAAGTCGTCATCGAAATCCGACATTTCCGACGCACACACACACACACAAAACTGGAATTTAACCTTCAATCCAAAAACCTAGACATTTCAAGAAAATTACTTCAGTAAAAAAAAAATGCCTGGGACTCGCGACACGAAATGAAAAGGAACATTGATTTCCCTAATTTGTATTCCAACCCAACCAAACATGTCACACTCGATACGTTGCAAAAAATGTGAATTCGCGAGCCAAAGCAATCCAAAACGTGATAATAACCCAGGAACCATTTGTCCCGCAGCTTGAGCAGCGATAGCAAGATACGTTTCTTTTGTGTAAAACTTGGACCTCCCCAGTCGTAGGCGTTAGAAAGGCACTAAACGAGTCGAGAAAACACAGACGTTTGACTTTGTCTCGAAAAGTCACCTCAAGGTCGACTCAAATTCCTTTTTGTCATAGGTAACGCTAGAAAAATGTTACCTAAGAAAATGAGACGAATTCTCAAGATTTCAGAGGGAGAACATTTTTCCAAAGAACTTCAGTAGTTTCAAGCATATTCGATGCATTAACACGATGATCACTTCGGAAATCTGGGAAGACTATCCGAGAAACATTCGATGGATTTTTCACGAAAATCGAAAGCAGGCACAGGATGCATAACTTCAGGAAAAATAAACTTCAGAATCACCACAAGCCGTAAAAAAATACCTTCGCTCAACGCATCATCAGTCGTAGTCCAAAACTTTTTTTTTATTTCTAGTGGGGGAAAAGAGGAAAATTCCGTTCAGAAAACTCAGTCATGCACTGGTTTCGCGTGCTGGAATAATAATGCGTCATCTGCCCTTGAAAATGCACCTATTCACTTGTAATAATATATTACAATTATTACTCAGATGTGGCTATGGGGCACATTGCAGAGGTGGAGAGCGGCCTCGAAAGACAATAATTTTCGAGTTTCCAAATTTTCCTTCACTGAATTATGTTTCGTATTTAATGCAGCGCCATAGATTGAATCTCATGCAAAGCTCTGTACCATTCTTGAAGGGTGAAGCAACATTTTGAATTTTGAAATTTATATTCCAATACAGTACACATTTTGAACAGTGTTAAAAACAACTTTAAAAATTATAGGGAACGGACAGTCGGACAGATGGAAAGACTACGTGGGCCGGATCTGGCCCACAGGTCATATCTTGGGCAGCACTCGACTATGGTCTTGATCGTCCCTCTTTTAGTTTGAGACACAACCATATCTTTGTTCTTTAAACAAAAAAGTTCAACCGATGCCCTTTCCGCTACCTGCGTAAGTTTTCAATCCAGAAGAAGGTAAGAAAGAAGCGGGTCATTGGAAAGGTACAGTATTACAAAAATCTACATAAATGATCTGATAACGTTATTACGGTAGATCCAGATTTCGTGGCAGATGACGTACCCATCTCCTACACTGATTCTCGCGATGACTGATGATTGACTCTTCCAAGATTACATTGGAAACATCTGTACGGCGACGCTACACATCAGAACGAGAATTCAGAACCAGTTACACACGCATATGCGAAAATAATAATCATCTAAAAAAAATTTCTTTGCCAAGAATAATAAGCGGGTAATTGGAATGGCAACGGTAAAAAATAAAAATAAACCACATTCACAAAGCCTGGATGATTTGGTGCTTCTGGGCCGCAGACAAGGTTTCTTGGCGTGGGTCCGGCCGTTTGCGACCCGCCAAACGAGCCCGCATCTCGGCCGCGGAAATGCCGTCAAAGTTAAGCTCGTTGTCGCTGGAACCGTTCGCCGGCGCCGGGCTCGTCGTCAAAGACGTGCTCTGTGTTACCTTATCGACAGTCGCATTCTAGAATGACATACAAAGAAAATATAGAAACAAAACAAAATATGCGTCTTTGACAAGGAACATTTGATACCATTTACCAGCAGGTACCGTAACATATGAAACAAGGTACGCGTAACCCGCCGCCTTCATCATGTTTCCAGTTCGACTCTTTTATTCCATCAAGCAGTTAAAATACAACTGATTATGTTCCGACTGAAATTTTTCGCCTTTTCAAGTACAGTCAACCCTCGAAAAGAAGCCACGATTTTTTTGTGTGGTCTGCGGCAGTTTAATACCTAGATAAGTTTGGGAATTCGTTTTAACAATTTTGAAGTCAAAATGTTGTCAAATATTTGAAATTGGACGTCGATCCTCAAATGGCGCTCACGGCTAATTTAACAGAGTTGGCACTCGAAAGGGGGTTGGTGGTTTATCAAAGAGCTAAAATAATTCGAAAAACAAGCATAAATAGGAAAAACAAGTCTCATCTA